CATATGGGCACATTCGGCAGCTGAGGTTAGCAGGAGGCTTCAGGAATGGGCGGAAGAACTTGAAAAGCATGGGTTGCTCTTGAACCCTGGCAAGTGCAAGGCTTACTACTCGCCCCACTGCTCCAGTTGCCCGCCGATCCATGTGCATGGCACTCTGATTCCCCGTGTGCCAGTCCTCGAGGTCATGGGTATCCAGTTTCGTGTGGGGGCTTCTTGCTCGGAACTTATAGCTCCGCTCATTGCCAGAGGCCGAGATAAGTTTTGGTCGCTGAAGCACCTGTTTCGTGCACGGACCCCACTTGCAGGTCGAGTAAAGCTATTGGACAAGATTGTTGGTGGGACGTCCTTGTGGTGCCTAAGCGCACTCTCTCCTGATGCCTCGGCCTTGGCGTTGATTAACAGCATGCAACTTCAATGTGTGGTTTGGACGATGAGGGTTGGAAAGCGCTCGGATGAGGGATGGTTGCAATTCAAGCAAAGGGCATACAGAGGGGCTCGGCAGGTCGTCTGGAATGTGCTCCGCAAGAGATGGTCTACGGTTTGGTTGGAACGGTGGTGGAACTTCTCGGGACATAGAGCTAGAGGGCTTGACAAACCAGTAGTGCCGAACTCGACGATCATCGACAACTACAGGAACAGAGCCTGGTGGACAAGGGAGCAGGATAGAACCTCGGGTACGCGGCACCCGAGGCATTATCCGAAGCTCTCCAACCTCGAGAGGGACATGGATCAGGCCGCGGGAAGCCAGCCGTGGAGAGGGGTCGCCAGGGATAGGGTTGTGTGGAGAGAGCGATTGCAACGGTGGGTGCAGTGCATGGACCCCCCGTGGGCAGGAAACCGACAAGTGACTCTACAGGGTTGAATGCTGCACGATGTGCGGGGTTGTGAAGGCGATTATTTGCCTGATGTCGCCGCAGCGTGAAGTGCTGAAACTCGAGCCACAGCGCAATCATGATGATCTTTTCCATATGGTGGGCCGTGTGCGGACTGCCCTTCGAGGGGTTTGCGGCTTCGCCGTGCGGCCCCGAGGAGAATGCCCTGGCCGACCCGCCTTACGTGATTCACCGGATGAACGCCGAGATGTTTGACTACGAGGACTCGCCGGAGTCACACCCCGAGGACGAAAAGACAACCCTTATGCAGCAAGTGCCCCTACAAGATTGGTACCTCCTACTTGCAGATCTGCAACGTGGCCTGGAGGCACTCCCCAAAGCCGAGCGCGCTGTAGCTATCCTGCAGCTGCTGAGGTGGCTGGACTACACTGCCACCAACAAACGGCAAGGATATATGCTTGGGCATATGCAAGGTAAGCCGGGGGACGCCACAGCCCTGCTGGTGGCGGCGCTGGAGGACACGGGCATCCAACCGGAGGGTGAGGCCCACCAATGGTGCTCGCCGTGGGTGCTGGAGATGAGAGTGAGACTTCGAGCGCACATACCACGGCATGCAGGGTCGGATGACAGTTGGGGGGAGCCAATGCAGATGGGCATGCCGTGCATTATGCTGTTCAACAAGCCCCTGCCCTCGAACACACCGCCAACCACGCCAGACGCCGAACAAGCTGCCATTGAGGTGCCGAGCGACGGAGAGACCAAGAAAAACAAGAGAAGATGCATCCTGGTGGAGCTCAGTTCGGGCTCCTCGGATTTACCTAGGGTTGCCAGGCAGATCAGGGTCCCACTGCACGAGGGACGTGCGGAGCTACATATGGCAATGCAGGTTGAGGATGACGTGGATAGCGAGGCCAGCACCAAGCCGGTTGAGGGACCGGCTACTGCACCGCTGGGAGGCAGCACCGGCACGACCAGTTTCTGTCTACCGGAGCCAGCACCAGGCACGTTGGCAGAGGCCGGTTTGTCCATGACCGACCTCCTCAGCCTGTGGGGAAGATGGAGAACTGGGAGCATGGGGGTGAACGATGTGAAGCGAATCCATGGCCAAGTTGCGGCGGAGTTTGTGCAAGAACAATGGGTCAACCTGCCGGCAGAGGCCCTGGAGCTCCCCTCCATCTACCCGGACCACCCCTTGAACGACCTGATGATGCTTCCGAATCACCCCGAAGTGACGGACAACGATCATGCCCTGGAGGCTGAGGGCTCCGCGGTGGTTACGGCGGACACAGAGGTGGAAGTGCTGGAGAACCAAGGGACAACACCGGCGGCTGGAGACACGGGCCCTTTCATGGAGCAGTCTCATACTGAGGAGGAAACGGTTCTCTTTGCGCTCTTCCTCCGTCTGCTGCCGATGGTGCCAAAGGTAACGGCACCAGAAAGCCCTGTGGTTTGCGAGCCATCGCCGCTTCAACTGGCGAGGGACTGGGTGGCATGGCTGCGCCGAGCGGGAGTCTCAAACCTGCTGCTGACCACCGCGCTTCTGGCTCAAGCAGAGCGGAGACGAAGTCTGGACTACATCCAGGACTGGGAGACCATCCTCATGGAGTTGCACCTGACGCCGGAGGCGGACATGGACAGGGTCGCGGAAGTACCAGAACAGGTGCGAGCA